GACTCGCAACCATTAAGGTCGTGGGTTCGAATCCTCTCAGGGGCCCTACGTTGTGTCCTTGGGAAAGGCACTTTACACGAATTTTTCTCACTTCACCCAGGTGGGAATGGGTACCCAGCTATAGACAGCGAAATATCTTGTCAGTTTGTTAGTGTTGGAGCGCTTAATCAACCGCTAGCAGTGTATGCTTCTCGGGAAGCTGAGAATATTTCGAATTGTAAAACATGATTTGTAAATCACCCTAGAAGACGATACACAAGGAAGAAACCTGGACATAGAACTAGAGATCAAACTCACTTATCAGAAGCTCAGAAGCGTTTCAGTAATGGTATAAAATCAACAAAATCGTTACCAGAGGCAGTTCGTAAAAGAAACATTTACCATGCTTGTGTAAGATACAGATGAAATGAATTTTTCTGAAAACTAAAATGGTCTATGCAAAGCACCAACCAAATAGATCAAATAGATTTTTGTTCGACAAATCAAAAATTGAGAGTAAGTTTCTATTATATTAATGTAAGTAATACATTCCTACCTCTAGAAAACGTAACTAATCTGAAGAATTATGGGGAAAATGAAGATTTCAATAAAGGAAGCTATGAAAGAACGTGTCCTTCTTCACAGTGTAAAGAGATTGAGAAGAATCAAAGCAAAGACAGTAAATAAATTATGCATTCCAAAATCAATGAAATTAGAGGGAAGAAAGGGATGCACAAATCCGAGCCTCATAAGATCAAAATGAGGAGATATTTTAATGGACAAATGGGAAGTTTTAGACAGATTTACGGAAGAAGTTAACACTTATCAGAGTTTTAAAAATACTTTGTAAGTGTTTTACGGCGCTAACAACTACTGCATACGGTCATAATGAGCGCGCCGGACACATTTAACATAATTTTCAGTTAGTAGGAAATTTTGAATTTTGCCCGAATGGCGGCCGAAGCCTACTCGTATCGATTTTGGGCCGCCAAAGGATCTTTAACGTGCACACCTTGCATACTGTACCTCCAAGATTTTTCACATTTATCAGAAAAGGCTATGCGTTCGATCTTACCTACCATAAGATCAGGGCTGTGGCTGAAAGACAACAGTAAGTAAGAAGGAGCAAAGGGGTAGTAGTAGAAAGGCTGCAGAAAGAATCAGGAGCCCAGAGGAGGGAGCAAAGGAGGTGAGGCGGTGGGGGCAGAAAGTGGAGACGAAAGCAGACGACAGAGCATTGTTAGAATGGCGGGAAATCGGGTGAAAGGAGAAACTTTTAGTGAAGAAAATTTTCCGGCGCTATCCGGATTCGAACCCGAGACCTATTTAATGAGAGGCGGACATCGAAACCTCTAGGCCACGAGAAACCCCGCAGAATTTTTAAAGATAAAAGAGGCGATGAATCTATAATTTAAAAAACATATATTATGTAAATTAACTATCAATTCCGGCAAGAAAAAGTACAAGCTGTCATTAAGAAAATGAAACTAGGGAAAAGGTACAGGATCGGGTAAATAATTACTATTGAAGCGATAGTTGCATTAGAAGAATTGGATACTAAATAAAGTCGATCCATGACAGAGGTGGTAACAGTCACATTGGAGGGATTGCTTTCTGAATTAACAACATAGCTATTAAATTGAATTGATGATAGGGGTGAGATTCCAGAAGATCTGATTAAGTCAGTCTTAATAACTTTACCCAAATTACCAGGCATGACAATTAGTTTTCATAGAACAATAAGCGTTACGGGTCATTAATATAATTTTTGTTGTGGGTACTGGTTTAATGAAAGAGAAAAAATTGAAAAAGTTAACACTTTTGGCTATTCTCAGGTCATGGTTTGTTTTTGTGTTATAAGTAAATGTGTTATTTTTTTCTTCCCAAAAAGCAGAACTATCAGGTAAAACAATTAATTCATTAACGACATCAATATCAGCTATTTGGTCTTTGACATCTGTGCGAGAATGACATTATGTTGCATATCATTCCATTGACTCCTACGTGTGTGTAAATGTGTCTTCATGTGTTTGTGTGTGTGTGTGTGTGTGTGTGTGTGTGTGTGTGTGTGTGTGTGTCATTAAATTGTGTGTCCGTGAGCGTGCAAGTGTATCTATTCCCCATGCCGTGACAAATTTCTCTTTGTGAAAACCAATATCTTGCTATAATCTTATCGCATCTTTTTTTTTTACGTTTGATTTTGATAAAGCAAAGGTACCCTGTCAAACAAACAAAAAAATGTGAGGCAGCGTGGTGGAATCAGGCTCTCGTCAAAATAATCAAAGTGAAGAAACTTGCATTTTTTCGCAGGTTTGTGAATTTTTTTCAAATTTTTATTTTTTGGCTCAACACCTTTCATGCCTATTAAAAAACTCATTTCTGAGTGGATTTTTCTTTGAAACGTTGATTAAATGCACACAAAATGTAAATTTTCAATTACCACGGACCCTTAACTTAAGGAAATAACTAACCTTTGGTGACCATTTTCTCACTGATTTTACTTCTGAAAACAGGTGACCCCCACCTTCTTCATTCCCAAATATCTCGATTTTTTTTTCAAGATAAATGGTAGTTTTTTTAACCAAATAAAAACAAGTGAACATGCTTTAAGAAGACACCAATAACACTACATGCCCAAAAATTGACGAGAGCCTGATTCCACCACGCTGCCTCACAAATTGAATTGAGGCATTGAGGTGAAATCAGACGCTCCTCAAAAGAATGATGTCAAAGATATTTGCGGCATTTCCCACCAGTTTAGCAATTTTTTTTAATGGCTTAAAATCTCATTAAGAAACACGTATTTGTGTGGATTTTATTGAAAAACGCCGATTAAAGACACAAAAAAAGTACATTTTCGGTTTCCAAGGTCTCTCAAGACATGGAAAACAACAATCTTTGGTGGCCATTTTCTCGCTAACTTTACCTCTGAAACAATGCGATCCCACCTCGTTAAATCTCAAATATCTCGACTTTATTCAAGAAAGATAGGTATTTTTTCATGGATAGATTTAAAAAAAAGAACAAATTTTAAGATGATGATGAACTCCACATGCACAAAAATTGGCAAGCGACTGATTTTACCGCGTCGTGAAACCAACCTTAATGGAAAGATGTACATTTTTTACATGTATTTAAACATAAAAAGGTCTGTATTTTATGCTTAATTGACTACTCAGAACAGCGAATTTAAACAGATTAAAAGAGAAACGGCAAATCCGTGTTATGTCCCCAGACCTCTTTAAAAAGAACAGTGAAACAATCTTTAGGAATTATTGTAGAAAGTTTAAGTGTCAAGGTGTACGAGAGAGTAATGATATTAAAAACATGAGATATACCAACGATAAAGTTTTGATTGTTGATTCAGGTGTGTGTATGTGTGTGTGTGTGTGTGTGTGTGTGTGTGTGTGTGTGTGTGTGTGTGT